ATATATATTAGGTTGCAGCGTTATAGGGAAATATCATTGCAGCCACGACTCTATGCGGAATGCGTGAAAACTGCAGCGTATAGAGAATCAGTTTCTACTTCAATCAATACATCGACTTCCACTTTTGCACGGTATAACGTTACTATCAGCGAGCACAATAACTCAAAACCTGGCTGCCAAATAGCATTGAATTACACTCGAATCAAATAACCCAATCTACTGTAAACTTTTATGTTCATTTATGCTGGGTTCAATGTCATTTGAAAAAGGAATAATAAATGCTGTCTGTTTAAAGGAGCTAATGAAGTAATACTAAACTATACAAGGCATGAATGAACACGGTGGTAAAATCTGGGCTGCAAAGTTCCCACATTTCATAGAATCCGAACAGTGTTCGATCGTGTTCAGGCAATTAGAATCGAACCCACGTTCCAATTCGGGGTCACCTGCGGTCATTCACAATAAAGCGGCAGAACAAGCCTTTCCGTGAGTGCCTCGCAACAGATAAAAAAAACACTTTTCTATAGATACAAACAATTTCATGGACAGTACAAGTCCGCTATCATTTTTGTGTGGACATGTAACATCCGTGTCCATCATATCACCATAGTCCATAATATCGCCACCTTGAGAAATAGTGTGCTTCAAGATATTTTTACTGCAACATACCCTAGGTATGTACATTTGAGGTGTACAGGAGTGCATACCAAAAGTATGTTGCAGTAAAAAATATCTTAAAGCACACTATTTCTCAAGGTGGCGATATTATGGACCCTGGTGATATTATTGACATGAATGTTAACATGTAGCAAAGCTACTGTCGTATCCTTGGGTGACCTTGAATACTATAATGATTTTTTACACCAGTATGAATTACAGAAGTTTTGGTCGAGATGACATGTCTGCAAAACTCGTAAATAAATATCCATATTGTCCTTTATTTTTCCACCCACGTACCAAATACCATAAACTCTACCAATAGCTTACTGCACTACTGTTGTTTTTTTATTAAAACAGCAAAAACAGAAATACATATATACAAGATGGCGTCGAACTCAAGTTCCATCTTTATAAAATGATTAAAAAGAGATATGCTAATCACGTGGACAAATAAATAGATATACAAAATCAAAACAACATAATTGGGGTTTACTTATAATGAAATTCAACTGTTACACCACATAACCACAAACGCCTAATGACATGGGTACGCCTGGAGTGTCGTTGAAGCAAGGACAGTAGCAGTGTAGGCACGCCTCCCGGCGGAGTTTGTAGAGACCACAGAATTAGTGAAAGACTTGTAAAATGTCCACTTTTTAGTTTGCAGATGTTACAGAGAGCAAGGGTCTTGAAAATAACAGGTGATTTCCAAACAGATGGGTTATATGTTTGTTTATTTGTTAGTTGATTTTTTATTGATCGGTTGGTTCTTGGGTTGGTTGGTTGGTTGGTTGGTTGGTTTTTCGGTTACATTGTTGAATGCTCACAAGTAAAAAATAAGTTTTGAATTGGTTTTAGAACTACATTTCAGTTTAACCCTACCTAGACCGGGCTTTTTTT